CGCTCCTGTTTTAATATTTTTGGTTTGCGATGTTGTAATTCTCTAAATTCCTATTGTGGTCGACGTTAATCATCTCTGAGGGATTTTATCTGTGTTTATTGACGATTTGGATATATATATGTCTATTATATATATGATATATTATATATGGTTATACAATTATACATTATTAAAATATATTTATCTGTACAAAAAAAAACATATATATATGGATTTCCTTTTTATTTGTTTGTACTGTTCATATTGTTCCAAAATATAATAGCGATCATAAAACGCAATCTGTATCTGTAGTTTTGAAACAGTTATGTGCAGGTAAGAGTTATTATTTTGGCGCGTGTGTGATGGCAATTAAGACCTCCATGATAAAACATCAGACACTGTATAATGATACCACCTATGTTCTGTTGCCCTCTTTTTTGTATATTTTATCACCATGTGCTATTATGACATAGTGCAAATATCCACGGAGAAAACAACAAACAAACAAAAACACAAACAAAATATAAAAATCACTTCTAATAGCATACGTCTATGCATGCAGTAAAATCGGCTCACTTAGATTTCATAATGTTAAATAAATAGTGCAAATGAAAATGAATATGAGTCATTAGAAAATATATACTTACTTTTTTCCAGGTAGCCAACAAGTATGTCTTCTAGAAAGAAAGATGATTATATGAAAGTTATATCAATGACTGAGTGCAACATCTGTCACTTGGAACTTTCTGATCCTCGACGGATAGAGTGCGGGCATATATTTTGCTTCCATTGTCTTGGGAATCATGTGCGTTCTTCGCCTTCTTGTCCAACATGTGAGCGACCGATGAAGCCAAAATTAGGAAAGGTAGATTCCTATCCTGTTGCTATGGAAATAATACATCTGCTGCAATCTCTTCACAAGGTCGAAAGTTGCGGCAAAATTGTGGACGATGAAGATGATGAAAACGTAGACCCTTATGAAGATATTGATAGCGACAAGATGCAGATGACGGCCACAACGTCGCCTAACAAGCCCACTTGTCTTTTGTCTGATGACGTATGCGATATACATGGACAAAGACTGGTTTCTGTTTGTACCACTTGTGATGATGAACTTATCTGCGCCAAATGCAGCATCCATTCTACGCACAATAAACAAGACATATCTGAACATAATCAGTACCTTTCAAATTTGCTCAGTAAACAAAAAGATAAATTACTTCAACAAGCAGAAGATAAAGAAGCAGAAGAGGAAAAACTGCAGGAGATGATCGAAAAGCAAATAAACCAAAAGGACACAATTAAAGACGAGATAGAGGAAATCGCCGAGGAAATGTTCGCACAAATTCACAGGAAAAAGGAAGAAATGCTTCATCCAATCGAGGATAAGACAGATGAGTTCGTTAAGCACCTGTCTAACAGGCAAGAACAAAGCAAAGATCAAAAATCAGAGTTTAATTACATAAGAAGTAAGATAGGTAATCTGTCAATCGATAATCCTCTAGATTTCTGCAGAAAAGCAAAAAGAGTACTAAAGCAAGCAAACATTGCACTGCGAGTAGGAAACGAACCAGTTCCACAATACCAGACCATTAAGTTCATCAGGAATGAAACAGCTACCAACGACCTTAAAAATCTCGTGCTAGGAGAGGTGAAGATAAATGGAGTATTACCAGCGCAGAGTGAGGAATATGACAGGTCTGAGTGTACGCAGGAGGATCTTGACTATGATGACACAACTCAAGTGCAAAACAAAGAGTTGGAGTGTGAGCTGAGCAATGGAACAGATCTTGCGCAACAAACTGCAACCCCGACCTTCAAACAAAAAGATGATCTCATTTGTATTGACGAAAATGTTGATGAGGGAACTCGGTCAAAGGAGGCCCTACCCCCTCCTTTGGGACCGAAACCTGAAAATCCTTCAGTCACACAACACCCCTTTGGTCCACCTCCTGTATCGCCAGCTCCAGATGGAAAAATACTAAAAGTAGAGTCACACTATGCTCTCTTGAATACAGCTTCTTACAGCAACAGCAACCATTGTTATAACACATTTGTATCAGAATTACAACAGGAAAGCCATTACGGCCTACTACCTTTTTTATCTCCTTTCTCAGGAACATTTCGAAAATCTGTCTCCATTGCAATCGACAACCGTGCATTTCCACAGAAACTCTGCAACCGTGTGTTTCTGCCGTTTCGACCCTCCGGATTCACGGTTGTCCAAGGGTCTCATGAAAACTATTACACCTTTGTCACTGATGATCATGAGGTAAAAATGATTAAACAAAATGGAGACGCCTATAGGACGATAACAGACCTGGTTAAGCCGTTTGACGCTGCAAGCCAACAACGTGAGAAGTTGACGCCATTGTACATCACGGATGAAGGTATTTGATTTGAAACCTAGAGGCTGTGTGGGTGGGAGGGGGGG